GTCCTGCGCTCCTTCACCCATCGGCACACTATGCGGAACCGCCGATAAAGCCGCCGCACGGTCATGCAGCGCGGCGGGGCGCTGCGTGCGGGACGAAAGTCAAGAGACAGGGGATGCTTACAAGGCACGGATGGCTGCTGCATTACGTGCGGCGACCGCAGTGACAGTGGTGGCTTCCAAGAAGGCATCTCCCATCAACAAGCCAGAGGGTGCCACAGCGCACAGGCCAGCAGCCGCCGCAGGCCCCGCGACCGCGGCAGAGCGAGCATCCTGGGCGGCGCAGCGATATCAGCCGCCCGAGTCCCAGGACGCTACAACAGTGGCGCTGCTGCAGCTAATGTTGAAGCGCGAGCTGGCGGCACCAGCAGGACGCGGCGCCCAGGTCAACAGCTCGACCTCCAGCGGTGGCCAGGAGATAGCAGCAAGGGTGCTCAAAGCAGAGGCAAAACCGGTAGCACAGCGCCAGCGTGTCCCGGAGGGTGGCTATGGCAAGGTTGATGAAAGAGTGGACATCAGCGGGTGGCTGAGTCAAATACCATACGACTCGCTGTCTGTCACGGTTGACGCATCCACTGGTGCCCTCGGCCGCCGTGTCCCCGTCGACTTCCTCGGCACGAGTCATGAGTGGACCAACATCGGAGAGTACGCCAAGACCCCTCAGAGCCTTGCCGCATTCGCGCGCGTGTTCAAGCAGCTTGGCCCGAGCCCTATCATGCGCATCGGCGGCAACAGCCAGGAGAGCCTCAGGGCCGTGCCCCCACCAGCCACGTGGGAAGCTCTGAGGAAGCTGTCGGAAGCGACGAACGTGCGATTCCTCATTGGGCTCCCGCTGCGGTCTGGTGACATGCAGATAGCAAAGGGCATCGTTGAGGTGTCCAAGATCTACCTGGGAGGCTCCATTTTTGCATTTGCCCTGGGCAATGAGCCGGGTGAGTTTGGCTGTAGCGAATGGCCGTCTGCCCAGGTTGCGTGGGAATAGGCGTTTTTAATCACGGTTGTATCGTGTGTGTGTGTGTGTGTGTGTTTGTCTGTGTCTGCTTCACTCTCTCTTTGTGTGTTTGTGTGTGTGTGTCTGTTTGCATGTGCGTGTGTCTGTCTCTCCGTGTGTGGGTATCTCTCTCTCTCTCTCTCTCTCTCTCTCTCTCTCTCTCTCTCTCTCTCTCTCTCTCTCTCTCTCTCTCTCTTTCTCTGTATGTGTGTGTGTGCGTGCGCACACGCGCACGCGCGTGTGCGTGTGCGTGTGCGTGCGTGTGTGTGTGTGTGTGTATGTGTGTGTGTCGTTGTCATCAGCATCGAGGGCCTCTGATTTTCTGGGGAGCGGCCTGGCCAGCCCAAGTGCCCACGCGGGTATGCAGCAGCCAGTCTCGCCGGACGTCCTCAACATCCCATCCACCCCCCCCCCCTTGCCTCCGTCCCACAGACTTGTGGCCGCTGAGGCTGGGAGGCTTTGACAGGTTCAAAAGGTGGCACAAGGGTTTCAACAAGTGAGTTTGGCTGCAGGAGCAAGTTGCAGCCCAATCCGCAGCGCGCAGGGGCGGCTCCCTACTTGGTGCTGCATGTCGGTTGCACGCCAACGCACTGGCCTCCGCTGCATTAATTATGTAGATCACCTCCTCTCCTTGCCACACGCGCCACCTCGGGCCCTGCTCCGCTCCACTCCGCAGCTACGCTGCCCAATTCCATCGGACAGCCAGCGCCCTCAGCGGGTGCGACCCCGGACTCCAGCTGCCAGGCAACTTCACGTCCCCGCCCAAGCCCAAGCCTGGACCCAGGCCCAAGCCCGCAAGCGCATCGCCCGTCACCTCTCTGGCCCCTGCTCGGTCGTCGGGCATTGCTCCCTTTGTTGGCTTGCCCTGGCTGGCCAGGATGAACGGGGGCACCCCAGGCCGGCTGCCGCAGGCTCCTGGTGACAGGGATAACACTGGGATGGTGGATGTTGCCAGAAACGCCAGATCAGGCGGCGACATGCGGGGAGGGACCACGAACTATGTCGGAGAGCGGGGACCCTTGCCGGCAACTGCAGGGCCAGTAGCTGCTGCGGCAGCGAAGAGGGTGGCGGCGGTCAATCCAGCAGCAAGCGCCTCGTCCGCCGACGGGGCGGCCAGGCCTGTGGCAGCGCCAGCGGCTCAGCAGGCGGCGCAGGCGGGGGCGGCAAACCCGCTGTTCCCCTTCTTTGGTGAGAGGCGCAGGCCGGCAAGAAATGTCCATGCAGGCGTCAGCTATTGCGTTGTGTGGGACGGACTCGTGCAAACGTGTGCTTCAAGGGCCTTGCAGTCGCTTCCCTTGCTTCTCTTGACCTGACTGTGAGGTCAGGTCAAGCACCTGACTTGACCTCCATCGCGCGCAGAGCGCATGCTGGGGTCCTTCAAATTTGCAGCCAGTGTCACGCCCTTCTCACCCGCTCGCTCCCTGCCCATCCCAGGCTTTGGACGCCGCATGCACTCTGCAGCGGAGGCCGAAGCCGCAACCTCTGCGGACGCGGTCACCTTGGACGCGTCATACGCGGGCGATCAAGCTGAAGAGTCTGACTCATCTCTGACGGCGGACGCCGTCGACGCGACGGCAGCAGCAGCAGGCGCCGTGGTGTCCTCCGGATCGGCCCTGGGTGCAGCGGACGGGCGCGCAGGCGGCCGTGGACCTGCGTCAGGGGCGCGGGCGGTGTTCATCGGTCCGTCGTGGCACAACCTGGCGATAGCACCGACGTCGCTGGTGGCGCTGGCCAAGACAGGGTCATGCTACCTGAGAGAGGTGCGTTTTGTGGGCATCGCTGTGTGCGCATGCGCAGACGCATGCGTGCTCATGCACGTGTGCAGGTTTGCAATCACGGTCGAGAGAGTCAGACGCACGTCGAGAGATGGAGGGGGAGGGAAAGAGAAAAAGAGAGAGAGTGTGCATGTGTGTGTGCGTGTGGGGGGGGGGGCGCATGCGCACATGTGCATGCGCATGCACATGCGTGTGCGTACGTTAATCTGTGCGCATGTGTGCGTTCGCCTGCATGCGGCGTATTCAGGGAATGCTTGCGATTGCGTGTGTAGGCACAAACAGCGCGTTCACACAGAATGCCAGGAGTGCACGCTGCAATGGCCATCACCGGTGCGCAAATGTTGCATGCTCCCGAAGCTTTTGAAGTTCCATAACGTTTTCCCCCAACATCCCTTAACTTCCCCTAAATTTGAACACTACCCTCTCACCCGCAGCTGTCCGTGCACTACTACACCTATCTGGGCAAGAGCCCCAACCGCATGGCGTCCCTGCTGGATGAGGAGAAGCTGCGGGCAGCCATCAAGAAGTTCGGGGTGCTGCAGGCACGTTGTTGCACGGGCCACTGCGGGGTGCCCAATGGTTGCCTGAGCGTAGGCAAGGGCGTCCCTGCACCCGTGGCACCTCTCTGCTGGCCAGCAGCCTCGCCCCAGCGGCGGCGCGCTTGTCCCCAACACGATACACTGCACTCCGTAGCCCTGCAGCTGCTGATCCAGGCCGTACCTTTGCACTCCGTTTGCTCCTGCTTACATCGCAGAGAGCTGCCGCCCGTGGTGGCCTGGAGCTCCGTGTATCCGAAACGAACAGCGCTGTCGGCGGCGGCCGGCCCGGCGTGTCCGACGTGTTTGGCGCCGCGCTGTGGACAGCAGACACAACATTTGAATTCGCAAACGCGGGGGCCAGCGGCGTCAACATGCATTGGGGCGTCGGCGGCGATATTGGAAGGGGCGGCCCAAATTACGGTGAGCCCTCGCGCTGCGCCGTGCGGCTTCACTAGCGCGCATGCAAAGCGGCCATGCTGGAGTGGATGCAGCGCTTGCAGCCACACGGGTGGGCGGTCCAGCAGCCCAGAAACGGTAAGCGCTGGGGAACACACATCAAGGATGTGTAAAGCTGGCGAGATGATGTCCTCAGTTCCTGCTTTGTGGGCTGCTTGTGATATGCAGCCCCATCACGCACCCCAGCAAAACACCACCTTCAACCAAAACCTGCAGTGGGTGTCCAGACCAACTACCGGATGGGCAACCCTGACGAGCCCTACCCCTCCGTGCACGCCCCCTGGTGAGCGGTTAGCTAGCCACACAGCGCGCCGGGGACGGATGAACGGTAGCCCTGGCTTCACCTTTTGCTCTCTTCCTGGTGATTAACCAACCGGCGTCTTGCCTTTGTGCGTCTGCCTGTCCCTCAATGAGCGATTGGGCGGACCCCCCTGCCGTCAAAGCGTCTTCCCGCGCATCCCATCAGTGCTCACCCCACCCCCATTTGGGCTCATGCTTTAGTCTCCCGCCCTCCCCTCCCGTTTTATACGCGGATTCTCAGGTACGGCTACCTGCTGTTTCTTGAAGCCACCAGGGGCAACGACGTGCGCTTTGCAAAGGTCCGGCGCCACACAAAGGACGCCAGCCCTTGCGGCGACGACGTCAAGGTGCGGAACCTCGGCTTGAATTTTGTTGGCCAGCAGTTTCCAGGCCGTACTGGCGCCAGGTTCGTGCTGCGCTTCCTGCGCTTTGCTGTCAATGGAGCAGCTGCAATTGGAAGAGCAGCTTTGATCGGGCTCCAGCTGACCATGCGTCCACTCCCCAGACACCCAGCAGCTGCCGCACCCGCAGTTGGCCCGTTGATGCCAGGCACATTGCACGTTGCTCAAAGCCACCCTTCAAACATGAAGCTGCATCGGCCTTGCTTGTTCGGCCCTGGGGTGCTCCTCCATCGTCCCCAAAGCCGACAACGGCCCTGCATATGTCTGCCCTCTCTCAAGCCCCTTCCCCACTTTGGCCCCGCACCTTTTACGCATCCCGAAGATCTGGGCTTTGGTCGGCAGCCCCGGCGCCGACGGCTCATCGCCCGCCGCAAGCGCCGGCCGCGGCCGCTCCGTCCGCGTCGCGATCGTCAACAAAGACGCGGAGCGCGGCTGCCTGGTCGAGCTCGCGCTGCAGGGGGCGCGGCCTGGCGCGAAGGCGGAGGCCAGCTGGCTGAAGAACAAGGGCGGCCTTACGTCAGCGTGGGGCGTCACGTGGCGCGGGCAGACGTTTGCAGGCACTAGGGACGCGGTCCCGCGGAACGCGCGCAGCATCATCAACGTCGAGCCCTCAAGGTCGGCGGCCGGCGGCGCGCCGATCTACAGGATCAAGCTGCCGGCCGGCCAGGCGGTGCTGGTGGTGGCGCCTGCGCGGCAGTGAAGGCGCCTGCAGGGCGCGCAGCAGCGGAAACGGCGAGGGGCCGCACTCAGCACTGCGCGCTGCCCTGGCCCGCGCTGCGTTGGCGTGCAGGCAATTGGAGCAGGGTGCACATGCTGCCGAGCAGGTTTGCTGTCCCTTCGGTCTGGGCCCAGAGGGCAGGCTTAATGTGAGTGGACTGTCAAGATACGCACGTTTTTCGCTAACCATTTCAAAACAGGCAGGCTCCCTGGCAGCTTTTGCTTGCCTGGTCCCCTGCTTGACTATCAAGGATTTTATCTGTCATCCAAAAATACAAACGCACACACTGCGCCCCCCTTGTGCGGCTCGAATAATCCCTTTGAGCTGAGGTTTCCCTTGAGTTGAGGCCCACTGCAGGCTGCCACTGCCGCATCGGCAGGTAGGCCTCAAAAAAACCTTCGCAGGCTGGCTCCGGGGCGGCGGCGCCGCCAACCATTTGGCCGCGCCGCAAAATTCTGCATTGGTTGTGCGCCTCTGTTATTTGTGCATATCGTCCGGCAATTTGGTGAAGCTCCAGTGTGCGGAAGGCCCTGGGCCCAAGCCCTCAGGCCAGCCTGATAATGATGCTGATCCTTTGCAATTTGCAAGGACACAAACAACGCCCGCACGCGTGGGCCTGCCAGATGGCGAGTGAGCCGGTGGCTGTCGGTGCATCCTCTGACCTTTGAATCTGCAAGCACTCGCATAAAGAGGCCCTGGCCAGGTTCCACAGCATGTATTTAATTGATCCTTGACGCTTTTCTAATATTAAGGTCTTGTTTGTTCTTGATCATGTTGCTTTCTCACGTACGCTGCTCTATCTAGATGCGGCTTGCTGCGCCGAAGGCGCGGGCATGCACTGGCGCCGTTTCGCCCCACCTTTGTGCCGTGAACGCTGCGGGATCGGCCGTGGCAACGCAATGCTTGGATGGTCCCACCACCCACAAGCGCTTTCGTTGCGGAGTGCTCCCCTTGCCAGCGTGCCTGCAAGCGACCGGCGTCTTTGTGGCTGCTGGGCGCACCAACTTGAAAGCGCGAGTTATTGGTTGCTTCTTTGTCGATTTCCTCGGCCCACCAACATAGGCGCTGCCTTGCTGCATGTTTATAGACACTTATAACCGCCTCAGCATCAGTAAACCACGACTCCTTTCTTGATCAGGTGACCCAGACAGGAGCAGCTTGCGAAACCGACAAGCAGAGGGCCGCGTCGCCACTCAGGCTTGGCAGACCAGCCAGAATAGTGCACGACAGGAAGAGAAGCTGTCACGTGCGCCCCAGCCATGCCAATGATAGGGCAGGGTGAAAGCGGAGGCGCAACAGGGCGATGCAAGGCGCAGAGTGGTGGCGGCCATCAGGGTAACGCGTGGCGGCGGCATGTCGGTGCTTCAAAGTGCACGGCTCTCTAAAAAAACCAGAAACCAGCCAAACTAAAGAAGCCCCTTTGAGTACCGAGAAATGCGGTGGTGATGGCGTCACGCGCGCATGGGCCGCGCGCAGCAGCCGCGTTCGGGTTGCGAGGCGCTCGTTCACGCATGCAGTCAGCCTGCTGCCTGGGCACGCCCAGGCCAATTGCACCCTTCCCTACGTGCACATGCACCCCGAGCCCCGGCGCCCTGCGGCCCCGCATTCTTGCGGACAGCGCTGACTGGCATTAACATCATGCATAGCGGTCCTGCTGCCCACCAGGCAAAAAAGGTAGGAGATTAAATCGACGCCGTGTGCAGCGGGGCTGCCAGGGCCCCGTGAATGACCGCCCCAAAAACCCAGCTGCGCGCTCCTGCCTAGCGGACACGGCCCGGCGCAGCGGCCGCGCGCGACGCCGGAAAGCACGTCACGCCCGGCCACGCTGCCGGGGCCGCCGGCTGGCGGCTCACGAAGACGCGGCGGTGGCGCCGTCCAGCGATATGTGGCGGCTGTTCTGGCGCGAACCCCAGGTGCCGTCCTGCGAGGCTGCCTGCTGCTGGCCGCGCGGCCCGGCAAGAGCCGTCCTGGGCGCCGCCACTGAATGCTGCTGCTGCTGGTGCTGGTGACGCTGCTGCTGACCTGCTACGCCTGCTGCGCGGCCGCTGAATGTCCTCGGCACAGGGCCGCTGCACGGCGCCTCGCCCTCCTCCTCCAGTTCTAACTGCGGAGACAGGCCGCCCCTCTCAGGGTGATGGACGCCCGGAGACTGCTGAGGGCTGAGCCATCCCGTGTGCTGCTGGTGCTGGTGCTGGTGCTGCTGCTGCTGTGTTGAAGGCGGCGTCGGCGGGCCTAAGTGTGTTGGCTGGCCCTCCCGCGGCATCGACAGGAGCGGCAGAGGGGACGGCGTGGCCACGCGCAACTGCAACCCGCCGCCCGCGCTGCCGCCGCCAAGCGTGCTTCGGGGCGTGCCCGCGGCGCTGCTGGGTGCGCTGCCGCCAGCGGAGCTCGCGACGCCGCCATGAGGCTCGGGCTTGTAGCGTGGGTAGCCAGGGGAAGCTATCGAGAAGCCGATCGCCGGCACCGCGCTCGGCGGCACGAATATGGACTGCGGCCGCGGCGAGGGCAGCGGGCCGCTGAACGCGGCTGGCGCCGCCTTGGGCGTGGGAGGTGCCGACGACACCGCTGCGTCCTCTGGCTGCAAGCTTTCATCCAGGGGGGTGCCGTCTTGAGCGATACCGTTGGCCGCGGGTGCCTCGCCTTTCGGCAGGGGCGTGAGCTCTGTGATGATCTGGCACTGTATCGGATAGCCGTACACCGGCCGCTGGAAGCGCGGGTGGCACATGGAGCACGGCGCGATGCAGGGCAGGCAGCAGCAGATGGGCACTGTGCACAGCAGCGACCAGAAGCAGCACCATCCCGTGGCGGTCAGCTCCCAGCAGTGCCCCTGCGACGCGCGGCGGCGGGGCGCGGGGCGCCTCAGGGGTGCGGACTGGGGTGGATAGTGTGCCACGGGCGCGCACCACCGACACGACGAGTGTGTGCACACGTCGAGCTGCAGGCGGGTTGCGGCGGCGCCCAGCATACCGAACTTGACACGGCGCATGCACCACGCAATCGTGTTTTTCTCAATCGTGTGCACCCACCTCTTCCACGTCAAAGCGCAGCAGCACCTGCCCAGCCTCAGGGGGGTGCCGCGGAGGCAGCTGCGGGATCCCCGGGAAGGGCTCGGGCCCCGCGCTGCTCTTGATGATGTTGCGCTCTATGCTGCCCTCATCGCTGGAGCCGACGCTGGCGTCTTCGGGCGGCGTGGGTTCGCTCATGGCCTGTCCCGCAAGCGCGCCCCAGATGCTTGCGCAGCCAGCGGCTGCAGCGTTGCGCGCGGGTCCGGCGCGATACAGCGCCGCACCGCCAGCCCGTCAGCAAGTTTTTGACAGTGCCCTGTATGACGCAGCCCGTGATGGCGAAGCACACGGCTGTGGCTCACTTCAGCCAGGACGACGGGTTTGGATTTGGTCAAACAGTCTCTGTGTTGCTGCGATGAGTGACTCAATGTCAGGTGAATCAGCAGTTTTGATTAAGCTAACAGCATCAAGCGCTAGATCCTGACAGACACTAGCCAGGCCTGCCGTGTCCCACGCACCCGTAGCCTGCAGAGAGTGTGCTCAGTGCTTTGAGGGTCATAGACAGACGCTTTTTGAGATCTTGGCTTTGGGTGTTATATGCAAGCGCACCGTAGTACATGCGCCTCGTCTGCATGCGTGCTGTGATCATCTCGCTCAGCACGCGCGTACACAGGCTTTTTCAGCTGTAATTATGACTCAAACCAAGCAGATACGAGTATATGGCGACTGGCTTGAGCAGGAGCGGCTGGTCAGCATTCACGACGAAAGCCTGCGCGTGCCCGGCGTCGACACAGCCGTGCCAGGCGGCGACATTGTGCAGCACCCGCCTTGCAAGGCCCTAGACTACGCGTGCAGTGTCCTAGGATCACACAGTTGGGCTGGCTGCGATCTGGAGGGCCGCTTTGCTCTCTCACTGTTGCACACCCCCGGCTATGGCGGACCCCTGTGCGCAGTGGCATTCCAGACGGCCGCAGGCCGCGCGTCGGCGCTGCTGCTCGGGCCCTTGCTGGCCACGCGCGCCTGCGTCGAAAATCTGCATGTGCTCTGCGCATGCGAGGCCTGCGCCAGCACGCCGCTGCGCGCCGACGGCGGGGGCCCAACATGTGTACACAGCCTGCTCGCATGGCTCCGCCATGCAGACGCCCTTGCCTGGCGCGAGCTGCGCGCCGCCGCCTGGGCCTCCGCAGACGCCAATGACGAGCGGACCAACGCCGCCGCAGACGTCGAGCTGCGGCGCGCCGCCATCGCTCGTGCCTTTGTGTATGAGGAGCGGCAGTCCGGGCGGGGAGGACATGGCGGCGGTGACTCTGGAGGCGG